TGAAAAGTGATAGTAATCACGCATACATCATCACGTTACTGCCAAGATGATGGGAGCCAGTACATGCAGCAGGTCTGAGCAGGTGGGAAGGGCTCCGTAAATGCTAGTCCCCTTCCTTTAGGAATACCCATTAAACAAAGATTCTTGTTTTCTGAAAGGATGAGTAAAACGATCTGCATTGAACACTTAGTTCTATACTGCAGCTGCTGTCCACTGTGTTGCTGGACCAAGGAGTCTATACCTGTCACTCAAGCCAATCAACAGAGAAGGGATGAGAGATCAGCAGTTCCACTTTTATTTACAGAAAAGCCAGTGATTCTGATTCCAGAGAGCAGCAGGGATACCTCTCCAAAGAGCTGCTCTGCCCTCTTCTTTCCCTTTGTTACCTTTTATTCTCACAGTAGAAGTAAATATCAGCAGTGTTATTACCCCTCACACAGATTCCCCCTCGTAGATTACAAAGGCACACAGTACCTTCCTATCTTAAAGTGTGGTTATATCTTCAAAGCATTTTTATTCTAGACTAAATTTATAGTTAGTCAACACTTCACTGGGTACTCAAAGTGCCTAGGTCCTTGAGCGGTACCATGGCGTCCAGCTCCCCAACTTATCTGTGATAGTTGGCCTTGGAAGTGAATAAACAATCTCCAGATGTCGTCGTGAAGGCTCATCCAGCCTTGTTCGGGCCTGGACAGCAGCGCCCTGCATGAGCTGGCCATGCAGGTGAACAGTGGCTGGTGACAACAGCACTTTCCTGCATGCACAGAGCCATCCTACATGTCTCATTTGCTTCCCAAGTCACCTTTAAAAGAAGGCTAGGATCACATACTCATGCCAGTTTGGGACTTGGACAAATTAAATTTTGATAAGTCAAATAGGCAGTAAATGTCAGAGCTAGAGCTAGACTTCCACTGTCACTAACAATAACATCACCAATTGTGCTTAATACTTGTATGGTAGCCCCACCTACCCACCCTTAGCCACTATTTCCGTTACCTGTGATCAACCACAGTCAGAAAACTTTAAGTGGAAAATTTCTGAAATAAACAATTCATAAGTTTTAAATCACATGCCATTCTGGGTACTATGATGAAATCTCACACTGTCCCACTCTGTCCTGCTTGAAACCTAAATCATCCCTTTGCCCAGTGTATCCACACTGTATGCACTGCCCACCCATCAATCACTTACCGTTGTTTCCCCCCAAATAAGACACTGTCTTATATTTATTTTTTTCTCAAGAAGACACACTAGGGCTTATTTTTAGGGGATGTCTTATTTTTATTAAGTATAATACAACAATTTACATTTATTCAAATACAGTTAAGTCATCTTCTGGAACCTGACAGGGGGAGCCGACCTTGGTGGTGGGGCTGTGATGCATGAACTTCTTTCACCTAGCCATTCTCACATGACCAATAGGATGGCCTGTGACCGTGGTTAACACATGTGCACCTGTGCAAGTGCCAACGGCTCAGAGAAAGGTGTGGCAGATAAAAGGTATTCCAGTCTTCCTTACTGCTCCCCACCGAAATGCATGACGTGGCTATGCAGATACATTGCATAGCCACGCCCATTACTAGGTCTTATTATCAGGGTAGGGCTTATATTTAACAAATGCATTGAAATCCTGGTAGGGCTTATTTTGGGGGTAGGTCTTATTTGGGGGGAACACGGTAGTAGCCAGCTCAGTTACCAGATCAGAAAACATAGTGTGTGTATATGTATTTGTGTATATATATGTGTGTGTGTGTGTATAGGGTTTAGTACTATCTGTGATTTCAGGCATCCACTGGAGGTCTTGGAATGTATCCTCTGAGGGATACTATATACTATGTGCACTGTATAGTTTAAGAAGTATTTTATGGCCAGGTGCAGAGGCTCATGCCTGTAGTCCTAGCACTCTGGGGGACCAAGGCAGGCAGAGCCCTTGAGCTTAGGAGTTTGAGACCAGCCTAAGCAAGAGCAAGACCCTGTCTCTACTAGAAATAGAAAAAGTTAGCTGGGCATTGTGGTAGGCACTGTAGTCTCAGCTACTCGGGAGGCTGAGGCTAGAGGATCTCCTGAACTCAGGAGTTTGAGGTTACTGGGAGCTATGACACCACCATACTCTAGCCTGGGCAACAAAGTCTCAAAAAAAGTTTTATGTTGGTGATTTCATTATTCTTTACAACAGCCTATGAACTAGACAATATAAGGTAAAAAAACTGAACTCGTAGTAGTTGGGTGATTTTCCTGAGGTTACACAGCTGGAAGTGATTAATACCAGAACTCAAACCCACGATTCCTTGAAGAAGGAGTTCTCTTACTAGTGTCACTGGCCATCTTCAATAGCAGCTGCCCAATTCAACCAGGCCATAGGCTACAATGCCCAACCTCTCTTCTTGTGACCCAGATCTTAATTTCTCCAGGGTTAGGCTATACCAGCTAACTAAATACATTTGTTTGCTTTGAGCTAACATCACATTAACTCAAACAGTAAGGGAACATGGTTATCTCATGCTGATCAAATAAGGTCAGACTGGCAGATATGTCTTTGACTTGTTTGATGGGGAAGCCAATTAGTTTAATCAATGCCTTTTGGTATATAGACTCTTTCAAATCATTGGGAAATCATGGTAAGAAAGTATTCTTAGGGCGAAAGATCTGGGAACATTAATAAAAAATAACTTATTTGTTTATTCTCATGCTCTCTCTTGAATGGGCATGATAAGAATTTTCTTTCTCTTTGTACTTTCAATTCTTTGTAGAGTACAATAGGGGCGAAGGAGATGGGGGTACTGAGGCAATTTTGGCTCCGAAATATAGATACCCAGGTAAGAAAAAATTAGATGAATCTTTAGGTCTGAATTTTTTTTTTTTATCCTTTTTGTTTTAACCAAGATCTTAGTTGAGAATCAATCCTAAATCCATTAGGAAGAGGAAAAGCCATTTGGGTATATGTGTTGCTAACCTTTCCATGTAGATTATACTTTATTATCCTGTGGGTCAGGGTGAGTCAGAACCGAGGTTACCCCCGTACACTTTCTCTATCCCCCCAAAGGACTGGAGTCTTCTTAGGAGCTGTTGGCTGGGTACTCTTCCCCCAGGAATGCCTTTTATAAGCCCACGGCTTCCGTGGCTGGTTCAGATATGTACAGGCTCAGATTGTGGATGGTTAAGCAGTCTCACCCTGGGCTACTGAGTACAAATGAGAGAGTAAAATGTGTTGTTCTTTGGAGGAAAAAGCCAAATCCTCCTTTAAGGTAGAAACAATCAACCAAACAACCCCCCCCCCCCCGAAAACCCTAATATTATGCATGGAGTGTTTGTGTTGGATAGGACGTTCTGTACTTTCACAGGCTCCATTCCCAAGCCTGGAGCTGAGGGCCCAGACAGGCCTAGCCTCCAAGACCCAACATTGTTGCAAATAAGGTCATCTGTTTCTCTTGGTGTTTGCCCAAGCCTTTGGCTTGAAATCATTTCCATTCACAGAATAATGATTTATTAGAAGCTGAGGAAAATGTTGAAGAGGAGGCAGGGCCCTTTGATCTGTTGTTTTGTACCTTCTGGGTCAAATTTTTGAACAAATATCAATGACTGAACTGTGGTTGATCTTGTTTTTGGAAAAACTGTTGCTGGTAAAGATGGGTAGGGGGCAAGGGTGATGGGGAGGGTCAGAGCCAGGGAAGCAGGTGCTTTCTGCTGGAGGCAGGGGACTTGGTGGATTGTGCACTGCGGCACCCATACTCTTTGTTTTGGAATAACCAGAAGGTGAAAGAATCCTCCTGTGACTGGGTAAATTAGGATCTATGGGGCTTACTGGGCTACTTGCCTAGGTTTGAGGTGAGCAGGTGGCTTGTAGCCCTTCCCACTGAGTCCAAAGTGTAGAAAGTTAGGATTTAAACTGGACCTGCCATAGCAGGCCCCTCTGATAGTGCAGGTGGCCCCTTACAGAAGGGACACATGGTCCTGAGAGAGCTAGCCCTTAGCGATGGCCCCAGAGGCTGGATGCTAGTCATAGAAATGTCTAACCTCAGAAAGGGATAGAGGAGCCCAGGTAGACCCTAGCCCACTGACGAGGTTAGGCTTGCCCACAGGGTACAGAGGAGATGTCAAGTTCAGCCCTAGCCTAGCCCATAGCATGACTTCAACTTCATAGTCCCACTAACTTATCTCTTAGAAGGGAAGCCTGACAATAGGCATGTCCTCGTTAGCCTTGCAGGGGTGATGCAATGGTTTGGGTAGAGCTGAGATCTGGGATTCAAATGTCCAGATTCAGGCAGCAGAGTGGACTGTAAGGGGCTATAGGGCAACATAATATACTGTCTATTGCAGGAGTCTTTGAGATGGAAGAAGGCATCATTTATAATTACGCTAGGGCGGAGGGAGCAGTTAATCAGAACTGCCCTGAGCAAACTGGGTTGTATGGTCACACTAGTCACCAAGCTTTATCTAATGCTTCTTTGAAATGAAAATATTGCTTATTAGTAGCTGTGATATGACTGGATTGCAGACTTAATTTGCCATCAAGTCCCTGGACAGCCTGTTTGGGCCTGAGAATCCCTTGGAGTGGAAACACCTTCTCGTAGCAGAATATCCCAAGGTGCACAGAGGCTCTAAGTAGTCACCACAGGGACCCCCTGCAGGAGTCAGCAAGCCTGGCTGTGACCTGGGGTGACTCACTCAACTGCTCTAAGCCCCAGGCCACACTGGAGAGGAGACTACCCTGTCACAGGGACACCTTGGCTGTGGGATGGAATTCCCACCCCTTCTGACTGAACCCTTGGCTCCCCAGTTAGAGAAAGGTTCCCTCTACCATGCCTGAACAAAACTCTGCAACAGCACTGGTCACAGTGCAAGGTAGCTCATTACCATGATTGCCTGTAGACTAGCAGCAGTTTGCAGCAAGAATACATCCGTAGTGCCACCTCAGGGCCAGCTCCATAGCCTCTGGGATCTCAGTGGGGCTGAAGCCCTTGCCAGCCCCTGAACTCACAGTCCTTTCTCATCCATTGCAGGTGGATGGCCAAATCGGAGACAGTGACCTGAACAAACGAAGGCGGAAAGGCTTCAGTAACCCGGAAGAGGTTTGTGAGCACAGTGTCAGTTCAAACAGAGGCTGTTTCCTGACTACCAGTGGCCACGAGCCTGCCTGACCAGGGCAGCAGCCCTGGCCCTCTTCCTGTCCTCTCTCATGAACCGCTGTGTTCCAAGCTTAGCTTGAGGGAAAAATATTCTGGATTCTGGTCCTCACTTCACTAACTTTGAGAAACACAAAGTTAACTTTGTGTAACTTTGAGAAACACAACCCCGCTGGGTGTGGGTCATATCTCTAAAATGCAATCATGACTCTTCACAGGATTTTTAAAGATTAATAAGATGATGTGCATAACATGCTGAGCATGCTGTCACAAATGTTAATAAATATGTAATCGCTATGAATAGTAAGTAGTAAAGAGGCACCAGCAATCCCCCTTTTCTCCCAGACCTTGTTTGTATTCTTTTATGTATTCTGTGCTTTTAGTCTTCAAAGCAAATGTCCTTCTACCCACAAGTGCCACCTTCTGGTGATAGTATAAAATTACAGGCTATTCTGTCAAAGAACATTAATCTCTAACCTGCTTCTGAAGAATCAATCCCTAGAAAAACAGTATCAGTTCCTGTTCCCCAGGCAACTCTTTAAAGACAACTGAGATACATGGATCATTATAAATGTTTTAAGATCACAAAAGTCAAGCTATATAAAAGCCACATGGACGTAAATAAATGAAGCATCCCCCGCCCACAACATAGACAAGCCAAGCAAGTTGAAACTTGCATGGGCCAATCAGGAAAGACCCTGTTGACTGTGCTTCTTGGAAGTGAAATAATGGACCATGACACAGTCTGTCTCAAAACTTTCGTAGTGACCTATGTATACATTTTATTTTTTTTAAAGCCATTCTAATTCCACAGGTATGCATATTGCCAACAAAGTAAGATGCTTTAAGGTGCTGTCAAAATGAGGACTTAGAACCATGTAGGACAATCTATATGATATATCAATACCTGACATACAGGACTCAGAAGAGGCTTTTTCTATTTCACACGGACGAGGAGGTTTTATTGCTCTACATTCATAATACACACTGTTCACGTCTGACTTGCTCCACCTTACGACAGTGAACTTTATAACAAATACAATGAACAGAACCATGCGACCTACCTGGGGGAGGGCAGCTGCCTATCAGCCCATCTCCTGGGACGCTCCAAGGGAAACTGATAAGGGAAACCCGGAGCTCCATTCATATCTTAAAATGTGAAAAACTCTGCTCTATCTAATGAGTACAAATCACCCTTGTCTGAACATTTTCCCAGAACTTCTTTGGGCGATTTCTTCAAGAACTGTTGCTTCCCTACCTGTTCACTGTGGAGTGAGCAAGAAGCAGCAAATAGGGAGAGAGTTCAGAGGAGGAAGCAGAGGCTGCCTAACAGGGCTGGAGGCACGTTCTGTGTCCCGGGCTCTGGTGTTGCCTTTCACCCTCCGTGCCTGCCCCTGGCTCCTTTCTCCTCCCAGGATGCCCCCTTTAGGTACACTGGGTCTCAGATGAATGTCTTTTCCTCCCTTTCATCTTTGGCTTACTTGAGGGGTTTTTGTGCCATTTCTGTTGTTGGTGGTACGGGAGGTACAGCGGAAAGAAACCTGGTTCACATCTGCCCCTTCTGAGATTGCCAGGGACTGTTTTCTGGGGCAACAGTCTTGCTTAAAGTCAGCTTGAATAAAGCAGTAATTCTTTCTAAATTCGTGCTACTCAAAAGCAGGGTCCAAGATCCAGCAACATCAGCATCACCTGGGAGCCTATTAGAAACGCAGATTCTCAGGACTCACCCCAGACCTCCTAAAATCTGCTATTGAAGATTGATTCACATGCACAGTAATATCTGAAAGGGCCAGCCTCTGTGGCCCAGTGTCCTGGCTGGCTTTGGTCTTGCACAAACACTGATCACCCCAGGAAACATGCCCCTTTTCTCATTCAGGCCCACGTTACATTACCTTTCACTTTGAAGCCGGCAGTGCCCTGTTAGTTTGTGTTTGTCTGACACTTCAGAGGGGCTGTGCATACAAGGTTTCCTGGGGGTGCTACTCTTAGGGCTCTTTTCTTTTAAAAATTGACGGTAGTTGGCCTCTTCCCATAAGTTTCTTCTGAGTGAACACTTGTTGGCTTGAGAATGCCTATTTCTGTGAGGGAGATTCATGATATCCTTGAGAAACTGGCTGCCCATTTGGCGTGGCAACACCGTTTATACTTCTGAGGTCTATGGGAGAAGAATCCACAGTCAGGAAAACAGACATACTTATAGAACACTGGCAGTTGTCACAGGTTTTACTGTTAGCAGGTGAGCTGGGGAAGTCTCATATGGAACTCTATTTTATAAAACAGCATCAAAGACTATACCTTATAAGTCAGATTCCTATCACACACCCTGCTGTGATAGAAGGAGAGGCCTCTTCACCTCTATGGTCGCCTTCCCCCCAAATACATAACCCTGGTCTAATCATAAGAATGCATTAGAGCAACAGAGATTGGGGGACTTTCCATAAAATAGCTGCCCCGTATCCTCCAAAGGTCATAAAAGACAAAGTAAGATGGAGACTAAGGAAACATGATAATTAAATGCGGGGTGGGATTCTGGATTGAATCCTGGGGTGGGGGGGAGGGAAGGATGTTAGTGGAAAAACTGGTGCAATTTGAATAAAGTCTATAACTTAGTTAATAGGATTGTGCCAGTGTTAATTTCTGAGCTATGATAGCAGTACCATGATTATGCCAGATGTTAACATTGGGGGCCGCTGGGGGAGGGTGTACAGGAGTAATCTGTGCTATCTTTGCAACTTTTGTGTAAACCTAAAATTACTTCTAAATTAAAAGGGTTTTAGAAAAGCAAAAACAGAGCAGAACTGGGTGAAGTAGGGGGTAGAGAGGAGAAAGAAGCCCAGAGCCTGTGCCTTGCCTGAGGGACACCCCTCCCGCTTCCTTCACCCCCACATTCTTCACCTCTTTGAAGCCACAGGATGTATTTTAAAAACGATTTTGGTCAACACTTCGTTATTATATTCGGTTTTTTCAATCCCCATGTGAAGTGGATGACTGTTTCCATTTACAGATGAGGAAACGTCAGAGAAGTTAAATATCCAAGGTCACAGGCGGGGAAGTGAGTCAGGACTCACACCCTGTCTGGCTCCCAGTTCTAACTGTGCCCATCCTTTGGACGCACATGTCCTGTGAACATTTTCTCTGCAGAGTGGCCGCCCTACTTCCTCAGGCCATGGAGGGAGTCATTCTTCAGCAAACTAGTCGCAAGCCCTGAGTCCTTGTCCCCCGCTCTGAGTCTTCATCCCCCTCCCTGACATCTGGGTTCCAGGATCCAGCCACCAATGTATTGTTTTGACCTTTGCAGCCTTCAACCTTTTCTACCTGTAGCTTGGACTCCAACCAGGAGGGCAGCAGCAGTAGGGAAGGTGGAAATCAGAACAAAGTCAAGTCCATGGCAAACCAGCTGCTGGCCAAGTTTGAGGAGAACACTCGGAACCCCTCGCTCCTGAAGCAGGTGAGTCATGCGAAGTGCTCCCTGGACCTGCCTTCTTGGTGATCAGAACCTGCCGAAGTCAGCGGAAGGTTCAGGCTAGTGACTGATTTCAGATACTCCAGGCAGGCCTGGGTAAAATGAGTCTCAGGCTTCTTCTAGGTCTGGGGTCAGCAGTCTTCTCTGTAAGAGGCCAGATAGCAAATTCCTTATACTTTGGACGTCATACTCTCTCCATTACAAGTATGTAGCTCTGCCATCGTAGCACAAAAGCACCACAGACAATACCTAAACAAACGAGCACAGCTGTGTCCCAATAAAATTTTATCTACAAAAACAGACTTGGCCCACAAGCCATAGTTGGCTGGTGCCTGTTCTGCATTAAACTCATCCCTTCCCTAACTTAGTTTTACTTCCCAACCATGACTTGGTTCACAGCCAGTTTTGAGGTAGTACAGCTTGGGGGAGCTTTTGAGGTGTTGGCTACCTGGGAGGATCCAGCCTAAGTCCCTGGTGAGAAGACCCATCCAGCCCAGAGGGGATGAATCTGAGATGTGGTTTGGGCTGCAGACTTCTGACTCTGCTCAGAGGTCTGTGCCCCGTGGTTCATTCACTTACTCCTCTGAATCTCCTTTGGAACGCTGTTGTCACATTACAAAAGCTTGGAAAAGGGGCTTTGGTTATTCAGTAGAGAATACCTGTCACATGACAGAATCAGGCTCCTTTCAGGAGGACAGACTCTTGATTAATTGGTATTAGAGGCCATCATAGCCATTTCCACGATCTCAACCTAGACCCTACCACTCCTGACTAACTGACCTTCCCCAGAAAGTGAAGTGCTTTTATTACAAGGAGGCCATTTTCTGAGACTTATAATTGTCCAAAAATTTTCTGAATTGTGCCTTCGTGGAGGCTTGGCCTCATAGTCCCAGAGTGTAAATGAGGGTTCTGTTCCCCCTGAAGCACAGGAACATTCCGGTCCCAGGCTGGCTATTCTGGCCTGGTCCAGGCTCTGGCAGTGCCCGTGCAGGGCCTGGTGTCTGAGCCAAAAGCAGGGCCGTCCTGGGATTCACACATTGTCCGAGAGGAGGAGAGGCTAAGACTTGCTGTTCACATGGACAGAGGGCCAGGGCTCGCGTTTCCCAGCTGGGCCCAGCGCCCTCTCTGCTTGCACTCTGCATCTCCCTGCTTCCCTCCTCTCCTCCTTCTAAGCGTCTCAATCTGACTCACCTTTTCCTTCATATCTCCTGTGGCTGCTTTTTCGGACTCACCCTTCTCCCAGGAGCGCCGTGTCTCAGGGATAGGTAAGCCGGTCCTGTGCTCTTCCTCTGACCCTCCTGTCCACTCTCGCAGCCCCAAACCGCAGGAGCCCACACCCAGCCCATCACCTCCTCTGAAAAGGCAGGTAGGGCTCTTTCTGGTGGCTGTTGTTTTAGTGACACCAAGGGTGGGCTGTAGTCCAGAGGGGTGGTGTCAGTGGGTCTCCCACACCCCAAATAGGGCTGATGGCACATGTGTAGGAAAGCAGACACACGTGAGATCACCACTCTTATAGGTAAGAATAACCAAGAATGCAGCCTTGGGAAATACTTCCTACAGGGCCCTCAGCCAGTGAGAAGCATCACGAATGACAAACTACCATGCTCTTGATGCTATTACTTGGGGGAAACCAAACTGTGACACAGGGTCTTTTGTGTGATGCCCTAAAGCTTTATTTGCAGACCTTTTGAATGGGCTGATTTCCAAGTCAGTGAAAAGGTGATGTTGGAATGGGCTCCGTTGGCCACTTGAAGGGGTGAAGCTGGGGTTCAGGGATGCCCTTACTGGTGCCAGAGTGGCTGTGGACCTGCACAGTGGGTGGAGAGGCAGCTGGCAGCCACGCTCTGTGGCTCGCTCCAGCAAGCATCTCTGGGTTTGGTATTTGACCACAATCACTATTACTGACCACAAATTTCAAAGACACCTGGTCAGCGTTAGAAATTGAGTTGCTTCCGGGTGGTAGAGGTCGAGTAAGGTGAGTGTTTATATAAGACATCGATTTTGTGTCTGTGTGCATCACCAGAGAAGCTTTTTAAAAAATGTCAGCATCTCATGCCCAGTCCAGAACAATCAAAACAGAATCTCTGGGCACTGGGCCCAGACTTGGGTCTGTTTTAAAAGTACCCTAGATGATTTTGGTGTGGAGCTAGGATTGAGCACAGGGTTGGACAGGTTTTGATTCAGGGGAGCTGGAGTGAGGCCCCAGACTGTGTGCTATTAACAAGGATGCCAAGCGATATGGATGCAGGTGCTGGGAAGTCAACACCTGAGGCGAGGCTGAAATCTTTCCTAGGGTGGCACCTGCTGTGCCCTTAGCCTCTGGTCCTCATGGGAGATTCCTCACAGTGGAGGTCTATGAAAGGGCCGCAATACAGAAGGAAGCCTAACTTTCCCTCTCTCCCAGTTCCCCCCTGTGGTTGTGACGGGGCACGTGCTCAGAGAGCTCAAGCAAGTGTCTGCAGGTGGTGAGTGCCCGAGCAGGCCCTGGAGAGCCAGAGCCAAGTCTGACCTGCAGCTGGGCAGGCCAGAGAATCTTGCTGCCCTGTCCCCGCCCTGCCAGGGGACACAGGCCCTTTCTGGAGTGCTGCGGCGGCTGCAACAAGTGGAGGAAAAGATTCTCCAGGTGAAAGCCTCGCTTTCTGCCCTGTCCTTCTCTGTGTCTCAGTGGCTTCCTTTCTCCTCTCCCCTCCCGCCCACTCCCTATCTCCTGTCCTGCCGTGGGTGGGGGCCTGCCAAGCCCCCGTGACGGCCTCTGTCACTGTCTTGTCTTTTCTTTCTCCTTTCTCGTCTTGATTGCAGAAGAGGGCGCAGAACTTGGCCAATAGGGAATTTCACAAAAAGAACATTAAGGAGAAGGCGGCCCACCTCGCTTCCATGTTTGGACAAGGGGATTTCCCGCAGGTAAACACAGGGAGCTTTCAGATTCCCCAGGAACCCAAAGGTCGGACACTCAGCCAGATGACCATGAGTCAGTCTCTGGAGCTTGATTTTTTTTCTTCCTCCTCCTCTTATAGCATGAGGGGCTATTCATCTTTCAAGCCACTAAAGAATCTTAGCTGGCCTCTAAAAAAGGTCCGAATGAGAAGATTCCAACTATGTAGATACATCATCACAAAGGGAAGACCTAGGCAGGAATGTACACTCAGGTCAATGGAAAACATAACCAAAGAGAAACATGTCCTATCAGGACCTTGACCGTTTCTGAGTAGGTGCTGAGCTTCCTAGTGGTCAACACGAAGAGGGAACCCCACTCAGTTGCCAGAATCACAGTGCCTTTAAGGTGAACGCAAACCAGTTGATATTTGGGGGCACAGTGGAGAAATCGCCCTGTGTCTCTGAATGATGACGTCAGCCACATGCTGTGACCCTGCGTTCTGCTGCCCCAGAGGCCATGCCAAGCCAAGAACAACGACTTTGCCTTGGAATAGAAAGAATAGTCCCCTCCAAGCCAGTTACTTAATTGGAAATTTGCTGGCTAAGAAGAGCATGTGTTCACAGAGAGATGAGAGCATCAAAAATGAGATCCCACAGGCGGGTAGGGGTACGTGCGAAATCCTCTCTCACTTTTGGCAAACCTGTCTCTAGAATGTACCTCCTCTGCTGCTTTTGCTCAGCCTCCTCCACGCCTGTGTCCTCTGCTACTTGGCGGCATCCTTGACATGGGAAGGACACTTCCACTTAGTTCATTTTTAGGGTTCCGTGTGGCTGTCCTTTTTAGGGCTCCCGCTGTGGCCATCTGCCCCAGAGCAGCCCCGGTTCTCCTTTCCTAAGCTGGCAGCTGCTACTTCATACCAAGCCCCAGAGCGAGGGCTTCAGGAATTAGCGCTGGTGTCTGGGAGGATGTAGGCAGGAACAGATTGGCTCTGTGCAAGCCGTTTTGTGTGACAAGGGAACTGGAATAGTTATAGCAGAATGCAGTGTGACCAGGAGCCAGATAATCCTGCTTGGCTCCAAAGACAGAGTTTCCATGTTGTCCTGAGACACAAGCCTCCATGTCCCCCACCCTCTTGAGTGCCCTGGCACGGGACTGCTTCCCCGAGGGCGCATCACTCCACGTGCCCCTGGGATAATCCCACTTTCTTCTGTTTCTGTTCTGTGCAGAATAAACTCCTCTCTAAAGGCCTGTCTCATACTCATCCTCCGTCTTCTCCCTCTTGCCTTCCGTCTCCTGATCCAGCTGCTCCTTCCTCTCCGGCGACTGTTGACTCTGCCTCCCTTTCCAGAAAGGTAGTTGTCCTGAATAATTTGCTTCCCCCCTCCCTGCATGTTCTGAGACGTTCTCATGCTCTGCTTGACCTGCATCGACAAACATCTAAAGCCTGGCTTGGCTGGGATGAACATTTGCAAGATATTTTACGATGGTGCTGGATTCATTTTTGGTTTTGTGTCTGAGCACAGCAGAACAGACAAGGCCCCCGAACTTGCCAGACGGTGCTCATTCATTCAGCAGGCACTTAGGCGCTTAGCGGGTACCCAGAGCATGCCAGCCACTGCGCCAGATGCTAAGAAAACAAAGAGGAGGACGCTGCAGCTCCCACGCTGCAATGGAGATGGGAAACAGCACGTCGGCATAGAAATAAGCGCCATTTTTACTACCTAAAATTCCCACTATTTGGCTGGTTTGGGCCTAACAAAATGGCAGTTGCACATGGCAAACCTAATCCCATACTATGCATTAATTCCTTAGTTGGGTAAAGGGCAAGGTGGTAGGAACAGATTGGAGAGAAACCTGGGGAGGAGTGACAGAGGAGGTACCGTGGGAGCGGAGTGTTGAAAGTTACGTGGGAGGATTTTGCCAGAGAGACGTGTAGGGCGAGGGTGTTGGAGAAAGGGGCTGGCGTGGGCAGAGGCAGGCAGGCAGGGCGGGCGCAATGTGGAAAGGAGAATGTCTGGGTGTGACTTGAACTTGAGGATAAAAGCATCTGTGGGGGTGTGGAGAGTGAAAAGTGAGACCACTCTGTGTGTAGAGGAATTTCATTTTATCCTCTGGACTACAGTAAGCCCCCCCAGGGTCCACTCCATGTCCTGGAAGGATGACCCAGGTTGCGGTGCAGAGCTGGGCTTGGAGGAAGCGGGGAGGCAGGAAGCTCATTTAGGTTAAGTACACAATGAAGTGCAGTGTGGATGCTGATTTAATTCGGGCTTTAGGGCTTTTCTTGTTTTCTGCTTGTCCTCCTGTCACCTCCTGTGCTGAGAACAATAGCAGGCTGGGGCACGAGAGGGCACGTCTCTTCGGAGAAACGTGGCCTCTGGAATGAACAACTCTAGAAAGGAACATGAAGCCCACTTGTTCAGCTGTGGTGTATGAAGTAGGCGTGGTGTCTTGGCCCTGCTGGGACCATGCTCCTCTGAACACATCCCGTCTCTCTGGCTCCTGCTGAGGCTGGATGTGCTGTGCTGTGTCCCCTGCTAGTGGGACTGCAGTTTGCTCCCTTGCTATTAGGCTGATGCACAAACCTGCCCATGCTGTTACATTAGTGAAAAATCAGAAGCTGCCTCTTGGTATATAACTGGGCCCACCCTCATTGGCCCCTACCTCTGTAGGGAGAAGTATGTGGGTAGGGTCCCCAGGAAAGCAGCAAGGAATCTCACCAAACCCACCTCTCCAAGGCCACCCCTGGTGTCAGGAGCATCCCCAGAAGGGCAATGGGAAAAAACTCTTTCCAATCTTCAGTGCCGCTGAAAATAGTCATAGTACAATATCAAGACACCTAGCATCCTGTTCCAGGCCAGCTACGGGTCAGCTGTTTGACCCAAAGTCACCTGACCTACCTGGCCTTTGTTTTTCTCCCCAGTAGGAAAATAGTCCCTGGGTTACATTACAGCGAGTTGCATGGTTGGAGGCCTTTTGGTCATCATCCTCACCGAGGGTCCAGGATAGTCTTTTTGCCCAGCTAGGGACAGGATTCCCCTTACCCTGGGGGAATTTCTGCTGTGGAAAAAGGTCATCAGCACCCTTGGTGGGATGACGGGAGGGATGAGGGCCTTGTGTTCCTGGCTGGTCCGTAGGACCCACACCTGCTTCTCTCTGGTTCAGCCCCCTCCTGCTGCCTGGGGCATCAAGGTGGAGCCAGGCAAGGCCTTCTCCCGTCCCTGCCCCTCTTCCATCTTTAGGAAGCCCTGACTTAGTCACTGCTTGCTCAGAGTTGAGGGCTAAGTTGGGGCAAGAAAAGCCACCACACTTCCCAAGGCCCCTGACTCGGTTTCCTTCTAAGCAAGGGCAGGAGGAAGCCTGCTGGGGACACGTGGGCTGCTGGGCCTGACAGAGGCACTTCTTGCCAATAAGCATGTCCCAGTCACATCATGACCACACCCCACCCAGGCCCCTGGCTGTGTCTCCATCAGGCTCTTCATGCAGCTTTAAACCATTGTCACTCATTAAGCCAAGATTTATTGCATGACAACTCAGCATCAGGCACTTCTGGCTCTTGGGATATACATTAGGGAAGAAGAGTGACAGTCCTGCCCTACTGAGGCTTACATTCTAGTAGGAGGAAGTAAACAGTCAACGATAGCATGCACAGAAGTAAGTAAAATACGCATTAGAAGGCAAGGCAATACTTCCTAGGAAAAACTTAGAGCTGGTGGCAGGGCCCTGCAGTGTAGAAAGGGTAGCTTTTGTCTATGGGGTTGACCAGGAGCAGAGCCACAGGTAAGAAGGCAAAGGCTCGGTGTCCTGGCTCCCAGCCCAGTGCTCTCTCCTCTCTGTCAGAGGCCCAGGTGCAGCAAGTGGCTTGGAATGGGCCTGGCTTTGGGAGAGCCAACCCCGGATCCTTGGGCTGCCACCTCTGTGGCTTTGTTCCTGTGGCTCCCAGGTTGTGGTAGGACAATCACCCCCTGTTTCTCAATCTTGTCTCCCAAGCCAGGCTTGGCCATCAAATGGTGGTGTAATCAGCCATTTTCACAGCTTCCAGGGTATGAAGTACAGGCTAATGTGCCTTTCATAGAATGGCTGGGAAGGCTTAGGGAACTCTTAGAGGGGCCACCACTGGACACTTGCACGGTCACTTCACTTCTCTGTGCCTTAGTTTCTCTAAGTGCCTACCCTTGCAGGCCCCTCAGGTCTCACTGGGAGTCCACTGGCAGTGAGAGAGGGAATGGTGCGTCTCCAGTTCAAGCCTCACCCCTCAACCCCACATTTCCTCCCTCCTCAACCCCCCTCCCACCACCACTGGTTCAACACTGGACTTTGCACATACAGAGTCTGGCAGAAACACAGCCTCCTCTGAGAAGAGAACTGGCTGCTCCCTTAAAGTAGGTGATGACAGTGACACACAGCTTTATTCTGTCCTACTGGGATTTAGGGAGTCTCCCGCAGAGAGAGCTGAGGCCTTAATGCTTCTTCCAAACAGACCATGGGCTGCTCTATCTGCCCAGTGGCCCAAATTTGCCTCAATTCAAGGGAGACGGGGTTGGGGGAATGCACTTGGAAACCAATGCTTAGTCCTTGGCAGTGTCCTGGTGGGTGGGGTGTGTCTGCTCCTGCCCTAGAGCCCTGCTGGCCAATTCTGAGGATCTGGGAGTAATGACCTCCTCATGGGAACAGACTCAAAACAAGTGTATTAAAAGAAGCATGTGTTAGTCACAGGGATGCAGGCCTGAGTCACCGACTCCAGGACAGGTACCCAGGGCTCTGCCTTCACTCACTCACTCACACTCTCACTCACATTCTCCTTTTAAATTCAGAGTGTGGCCCCACCAGCTCAGAGTCTTGTGGCCCTCCTGCTCAGATCCTAGCCAGGATCTGTCTTTCAAGGCTGTGGACTATGCGATCCAGGCCCCATCTGAAGTCCCCAACACCATTTTTCTTTTTTTTTTTTTTTTTTTTTTTTTTTTTGGCTGGGGGCTGGGTTTGAACCTACCACCTCTGCATATGGGGACAGCGCCCTATTCCTTTAAGCCAACAGCATCAACACCCCCCCC